TGGGCAGCCGCGGGCGACGCAGGAAGCTCTACTCGGCCGTGCCCGGACGCTCCTTCATGGCCGTGAAGTCCTACCAGGCCCAGGCCGAGGGGGAGATCTCCCTGAGCAAGGGCGAGAAGATCAAAGGTGAGCGGGCAGCGCGGGCCAGGGCCAGGGCAGGTGAGCCCACCGCTCAGGGAGGGCGGGCAGGACCGGCAGCTCTAGACTGTTCCGTGCACCCTGGAGGCCACGGAGAGCCCCGAGGCGCCCCTTCTGCCCGGAGGAGCACAGGGGGTAACTGAGGTGATGCCGTCAGGAGGCCTTGGGCCCTGGCACCCCGCCGGGCATGGGAGCGGTTCCCAGCCTGGTCTCTCTCTCAGGACCCTGCAGGAGGGTGGCGGATGCATCCCACAGCTGGGGGACCAGAGCCTCAGGCAGGGGAGCCACTGGCCCGAGGCCCCCCAGCTGCGCCCGCCCGCAGTCTCTCCGCTACCTCGTGGGGAGCGGGAGGCCAGCCGCCTGCCTTCCCCTCCTGCCTCTGCCAGCTCTTCTGAGAAACGGGCGGTGCCTACTGGCTCCCATGAGATGGCGGGTGTGTGAAGCCCCGTCCGGGCCCAGGGCTCCCTGAACAGGGACTGTTTTGTTTTGTTTTGTTTAGATTTCATTCTTTTTATTGATTTTTTGTTGGAGAGAGAGAAGCATGGATCAGCTGCCTCCCATGTGCACCCTGACTGCATTTGTTCATTCATTCGTTCATTCATTCATTCGTTCATTCATTTGTTCATTCATTCATTCATTTGTTCATTCGTTCATTCATTCATTCATTTGTTCATTCATTCATTCATTTGTTCATTCATTCATTCAGCAGATGCCCATTGAGGCCTCCGGTGTGTTTACACGTCATGAACAGCTTGGGGTTTGGAGACGGGAAGCTGCAGGCGTGTCGTTCACACGGGGTTGGGGAGCGACTCTTAGCCCAGCTCCAGGCTGCCGGGGAGCCGAGTAGGATAGCGGTTGAGGGCCCGGCTGCTGGGGTTCAATCCTGGCTCCACCCCCTCCTAGCTGGGTGGCCTCAGGCACATGATTTCTCTGGACCTCAGTTTCCTCATCTATAAAATGGGACCCTTGGGAAGATGAAAGGAATCACCTCCCGTAAAGCGGGTAGAACGATGCTTCGCACGTAACAAGTACAGCCGTGGGCGTCATAAGCGGCCCCCTCTCCTGGCACTTAGAGGAGAGAGACCCCAGCCACCGGGGGAAGCTGGTCAGGTCCTCCCACGGGTGAGAGTGTGCGTGGGCCAGGGATCAGGGCATCAGGCGGGCTGTGTGATTGCATCTGTTTTGTGGTCCGTCTGCCCACGGCCTGAGTTCCTGAAGCTGAGGTCACAGGGGATTGGTCTCTGGGTCGCAAGGGCCCAGCTTCATGACGTGTGGAACACACCGGAGGCCTGAATGCGCATCTGCTGAATGAATGAATGAATGAATGAATGAACGAACAAATGAATGAATGAACACACGAATGAATGAAGGAATGAACACATGAATGAATGAAGGAATGAATGAATGAACAAACGAATGAATGAACACATGAATGAATGAATGCAAGAGCTAATGGTGGGGGCCAGGCAGTGCCTCCAGAGGCAGTGTGTAGGGGGTGGGGAAGAGAGAGAGAGACAGGAAGTGTGTGTGTGTGTGTGTGTGTGTGTGTGTGTGAGAGAGAGAGAGAGAGAGAGAGGGAGAGAGAGGGGTGGGGTGGTTTGGACTGTGATTTGAGGTGAGAAAGAAGAAAGGGAAACTGGGGGCAGGTGTGAGGGGCCTTCCGGACAGGCAGAGGGCCCTGGGTGGTATCCTCCGTGCGTCTTTCTGAACTGCAAGCCCAATCCTACTGCAGGGAGAGGACGCACGGCCCTGTTTCCAATCTCCTTCCCTTTCATTAAAAGGCACTTCACTGCCTCGGGGCGTGCCCACAGCCATGAAGTCCCGAGTCTCTCCTCCTCCCAACGTAGCGAGGCTCCCTCTGCCCTCAGGATCAAGCCCCACGCCTGAGCCCCGGCCTACAAGGTCCTCCCTGCCCCCCCACCCCGCTCATCTCCTGCCACTTCTTCGCCCACAAGATCCCAGGGACCGTGTCCTTCTTGCCATCCCTCAAATGCCCGAAACGCTTCTCCACACCAAGCCCTTTGCACATGCTGTTCCTTCTGCCTGGACAGCCCCTCCTCCCTCTCCCGGCCTCCTCCGCTCCTAGGATCCTCAGGCCTACAGGTCCTGTCTTCTGAGACGCCCTCCTGGTCCCCTTGACCATCCGATGCATATGCCCCCCTCTGCCTGTCTCCGGACACCCTGCCTTCTTTCCCGGAGACCCTGTCTTTTTCCCCGTGCGTGCTAACCTCGATTTCCGATCACGAGACTCCCGCCTCCAGTGGGCACCCGTGTGGAAGCTCCGTGAGGGCAAGAACCACATTTATGTGTCCCTTGGCTCCACCCAGCGTCTGCTCCGATGCCTGACTCACCACCGGCCCTAAATAAATCTCAGCTCAGTGAAGCCATGGCTGATGCCAAGGCTACCCACAGGCCTGGCGGAGCCAGCCAAGAGCCCAGACTCCTGTCACCCCATCTCCCGTGCTCCCGCGACCTTGAGCGCCTCGGTGTCACCTCCCAGATGCTCTGCGCAGGCGGCTTGTGCAGGGAAAAGCATCACATGACCCGACTCAAATCCTAGCACGACGCGCGCCTCCTCTGGGCGAGGGGCTTCTCCGCTGCAGCGTTAGCTCCTTCATCTATGAAACGGGAAACCCGTCGTTGCCTGTCAGGGTGGGCGTGCGGATTGAGCGAGGGAGGTGTGTGTGTTGGGGGGAGGCAGGGGCTGCGTGCGGACAGAGCCGGGAAAATGCTGGTGGGACAGAAGAGCGTGTTGAGCCCAGTGCTTGGACGGGGAGGTGGCAACCTTCCTGACTAAAAGCGTTCACCCGGGAAGTGGACAGAGCTGTCCATTACAAGCCGTCTAACCTTGAGCCCATGACCTCGGATCCCCAAGCCTCAGTGTTCCCATCAGTAAAATGGGGGTAACAAAAGGAACCCCCCTCGAAGGGCTCTGGTTCAGAGTGAGAGCTGGGTAAGCAGGCGCCATCCCCGCCGCCTGTCCATTGCTGAATGCCGGTGCCCGGCACAGCCGCCGGGTGTGGCTCAGGCTATTGCTAACGGGGTGCCGTGGGCTTAGAGGGAGGACCGGCAGGAAAGGCCCTCCAGATTCTAATCTCTTCTCCCTTCTAGATGGTGTGGGGGGGGTGGGGCTGGGAGCAAATGACACAAGATTAAGTGGC